AATTACTTTTTCTGCTTCTCCGAAACTGCTTTTGCTTCTCTTCAAAATTATTTTTTTTCCTTCTAAAAGCTTAGCCAAACACCTCAAATTTTGGAAAAAAAAATATTTTTAGCTAAAAAAGAAGTTTGACCAAACATGCTATTAATGTAATATTCTGATTCAGAGGTAAATTTCTTGTATATGAATATATTGTTATTTTTTTATTTTAAGAATAAGAAAAAGTCTTTTTTTACTCAATCATCTGGGCCAGTGTATTTGGAATGCATTGGCCCGATTATTTAAATTCACGCAATATATAGTTCATTTAAGGGAAAATTAAAGCTCTTCCTACTATAAAAGAAATTTTATTAATGTGTGAAAATCGGTCAAATATTCTTATCCAAAACTTAATTCTTGATATAAATAATTATTTTTTGGGGTGGTAGTGGTGGTGGTGGGGGTGGGGGATGTGGAGAATATCTTGCTACCCATTTTTTTCTTCTTTTTTCTCCATATTAAAGGTCTTCAGATAGCTTTTACTAATAAATTAAGTTTCTTTAGTTCGTGGGTTAATTAAGGTAATGAGAAGAACATGATCTTTAATTAATAAAGTCAAAGAAAGAACATCTCCTTTGCTAGTATGTCAGAGAACTAAAGCAGATACAATTAGTTGATACTGCTAGAAACATACCATTGCACGTTAATATAGAGATTTTTAATGTCTGTAATACATTTATCTTATATTAATAAAAACTAGTATTAGTACCGGCGCGATGCGCGGACAAATATCAAATTATGATTTGGATTATTTGAATTATATGCAAATTACGTTAAAATTTTAAAAAATTACATATAATTATTAAATATCAGTTAAGAAGCAAGACATTAAACTGTTTATCATATTTCGTACTAGGTAGTATTTTATTTTATTTTATTATATATGTAGCAACCCAACCCCTTAATCTTAGTACTTGTATTTTATTCTGTGGTCAATAATAATAAATACTAAATATATCATGTTGTAATATGTCTTGTTTGAGAATATTGTTTTAACAAAATTCTTACTACCACTTTATGTTTTACCTCAAAGTCAAATAAGTCTTGTCATTCTACATTTTCACCTAAAAGAATTTTCTTTAATCTTTGCTTATAGTTGCTGCATTATTCACTGCTTAATATTGTTATATTTTTATATGATCTTTTATTAGCTTACCAATTGATTTAATATCTTTCTTATTACCCTTCTGATAATCATATATAAATATAAATTTTTATTCCTAAAATGTAATATATTTTTATTTTTTAATCCTCTTACTCAGAGCTCTTCCGTTATTTAAATCTATCAATAATATTTTTTAGTATTATTTAATTATTTAATATACTTATCCTTAAATTAAATCAAATTATAAATATTCTCTCTCTATATCTCTATTTCTCTTTATATATTTTTACCCCTATTATGAAATTTAATTAGATTTTTATATTAATATTTTATTGTATAATCAAAACATGTAGTATCACATTTTATTTTAAGTTATAACTCCCAATTAGTCTAAAATATTAATACATGTATTTTTAATTATTATATTTTAAATCTATTGTATTTTCTTATAATTATTTTTATATCACGTCCAATTAAATTTTCTTTCTCTTTTAGTTTCAGGATACAAATTTAACTTTTAATTTCGTTACTAAATTACGTACATGAGACATTTAATTTGTATTCTTAAAATTTTAATTTGTTATCCAATTATTATTTTTATTTATCTAGTAAAATTTTAATTTTGTAGCCCTATCCATAGTTTGAGCTTTTTTACCATAATTTTAATCTAATCTCAAGTTCAAATCATCTTTTCTTTCTATTTCTAATAATAAATATTTTTGAATTTTAATTATTGCTATTATGTTATATAATATATAGTATTTCATGTTTTCATGTGGCATTCATTAAATTTCCTCTTTATTTCATATTATTTAATATAATTTAGATAATGAGTAATTTTTTAATATTGATATACATATTTATATTATTTTAAATTAATACTCGAAATTATTAAATTATTTACATTTATTAATATTTTTTTAAGATTATATAGTAATATTTCCTATATTTTGATTTAGTTATTTATTATTAATAATTTAGAAATAAGTTATATGTGGCTTTTTTGATTATGCCATATGCTGAATTAGTTATTAGTTAATAGTAGTTAAGTGTTATTATATTATATGTGGCTAATATTAAGGTTGCCACTTGACTTAAGTGAATGACTTTTTCCTCTCCTTTTAATAATAAATCTCCTTTTAATAGTAAATAGATGTCATGAACAGTTACCAGTAACCATCTAATGCATACATGACGTAATTTAATGAAGCATGATTTATTTTCTAGAGTTATGCTTAAATTCCGGTAACATTTTTGCTTAAGAAGCAAGTTATAAATGTTTGTGGTATGTGGGTAATGGATATTCATTATTAGGCTATTAGCAATTTAATTAGTAAACAACTGCAGATTAACTAGATTTTCAATATAATTATTCATGAAGGGAAAGTACAGCGTGTCTGTTTCAAACCCGATTAGAAGTCTATAAAGTAGTTATTTTATATTAGCTAGCCGTTAATTGGTAATTTTTTATTACTTGGTTTTGCATTCTTATTTTGGCCGATTAAATTATGTTTTGTGATAAAAATAGCAAGGGGCTGAGGCAATTGGATGCTTGAGTACGCGACGCGTAATTAGTCCCTGTTGCTAAATGCTACCATTGCTCTTTCTTTCCATCTTAAAATTAAACTACTAATTATTATTCATCTACTTCTCAATCCTGAATTAATGATTACGTAAAAAGAAAAAAAATAGTGACTACGTCATTGTTGGGTGTGTTTGTGACATCTTAATTCTAAGTATGTATTTAAGTATATTTTAAAAAAAAAAAACTTCTTCGGTATCAAAATTTTTTACTGTATTGCACGAGGTGATTCTTTTTAAAGATCAAATGTGTAATGTTTGAAAAATATTGTTATTTAACCTAAACTACATAGAATACTATAAATATTTTTTTTAATTTAAAATATAAAAAATGATTGCAAAAATATAATCAAAGAAAAATATACTTGATTCTCCATAATAACACATTTTTTAAATTGTGACACAACTAATTTGAAATTTGTTGGCTTAATTTTCCTTTTTTATTATCATGTTTTATCGCTCATTTCATTGCAAAACTTTTTTTTTATGAAACATAGTATAAGAAAATGGTTCACATATGATTAACAATGTTTTTAATATATACCCAAATAAATAGTTTCTTCCATCTCAAAGAGAGGAAAAGAGTACAACAATAATCCAGTAGAATCCCACTAATGGGGTCTGGGGAGGGTAGTGTGTACGCAGACCTTACCCCTACTCTAAAGGAGTAAAGCGCCTGTTTCCGAAAGACCCTCGGCTCAAGAAAATAAAAAGACAAAACGACAAGAGGAGACAACATTAGTATCACCACAATAATCATAGAAAAAATAGGAACACCATGAAATGCATAAGAAAGATGCAAAGCAAAAACGATAGCTAGTAAATAGGACATGCACTGAAAAGCGAAGTAGTAAAATACAACATTGTCACTAGCTACCCTAGACAAAAACCCTACGTGGCCAGTCCCACAATGGTACGAAGTAAGTCAAGACTCAACTACATCCTAACCTACAACTCTAATACTCGACCTCCACATCTTCCTATCAAGTGTCATGTCCTCGGAAATCTGGAGCCTCGCCATATCCTGTATGATCACCTCTCCCCAATACTTCTTAGGCCGCCCTCTACCTCTTCTCATGCCCTCTACAACCAGCCGCTCACACCTCCGTACCAGAGCATCTGGGCTTCTCCTTTGAACATGTCCGAACCATCTAAGCCTCGCTTCCCGCATCTTGGTCATCAATGGGAGCCACGTGCACCTTCTCCCCAATAACATCATTCCTAATCTTATCTATCCTAGTGTGCCCGCACATCCACCTCAACATCCTCATTTCTGCTACTTTCATCTTCTGGATATGTGAGTTCTTAACGGGTTAATACTCAGTCCCATACAACATGGCTGGTCTAACCACCGCTTTATAGAACTTACCTTTGAGTATTGGTGGCACTCTCTTGTCACACAAGACTCCAGATACTAACCTCCACTTTATCCATCCTACCCCAATACGGTGTGTGACATCCTCGTCGATCTCCCTTCCCCCTGGATAACCGAACCAAGGTACTTGAAGCTGCCTCTACTCGGGATGACCTGTGATTCAATTCTCACATCCACGCCCACTTCCCCTGGCTCAACGCTGAATTTACATTCCAGGTATTCCGTCTTCGTCCTGCTCAACTCGAAACCCTTAGACTCAAGAGCCTGTCTTTAAACCTCTAGCCTCTCGTTAACACCGGCTCGCGACTCATCAATCAGAACTATGTCATCGGCAAATAGCATGCACCATGGCACCTCCCTTTGAATATGGTGTGTTAACGCATCGATCACGAGGGCGAATAAGAACGGACTGAGCGCAGAACTTTGGTGTAACTCCATTACAACCGGAAACTGCTCAAGGTCGCCTCCTACTGTCCTAACCCGAGTCTTAACCCCATCATACATGTCCTTAATCGCTATAATGTAAGGAACCGATACACCTTTTTGCCTCTAGGCATCTCCAGAGAACTTCTCCAAAGGAAAAGAGTATGATAGGAAATGTAATAATTAACTATACGTCCAACTTATTTTAATTAGGAAATCAAATGCAACAACAATAAAACTTTGAAAGAAAAAGGAGCCAAAAGGAGTAATTCAAAAATTGTTGGTGCTAATTTTCTTTCCAAAAGGGGATATAACTTAAACCTTAAATAAAAAACTCTACACAGCTTGCGAATAAAAATATGGGCGACAAATGACAGATGGCAATCGATCATTAGCTAATTTGAAAACATCTACCCGCAAAAGACTTTTCTCTTTTGTCTTTCATCTTAGTTAAAGATTACAAAATACTGTAAAGATTGCTTATTTTGTCCGAAGCACTGCACTCTACGCCTCCACTCAAACTATTTCTTCTCTCTCTACTGTATCTACTCTTCACTCTCCATTTTTTCCTCTGTAACTGTGTGACTGTGTGTACATACATATAAATAAAGGGGGAGAGAGAGAGAGAGAGAGAGACAGAGAAAGAAGATCATTTGAGAAAGGAGTAAAGCGAAATCCATTTGACGACAGCTAGAAGTTAGTCCACTGTACATTGTAGGGTTTTCTTTGAAATTGGGGAAAACCCTTAAAAACACAATCCTTAGAAAAAAATTTAAAAGGGGTTTTAATTGTTTTTTCTAACTGACATTCAGCTTAAAGAAAATCAAAATGTCGGTTCGGATATGAACCGGATATCCGCCGATCTAGCTCGGTAATTCAAGATCTCCGCCTTCACATTGCTTAGGTGGGTTTTGATTTCTATGATCCTGTATCATTTCTCGCTATTCCTAATTGTTAGGGTTTTTGTGTTCAATGAATAATTTGTTTCATTTGTGCTCGGTTTGACTTGTGAAGACTTCAATGTTTTACTTTCTATATTTACAATGTCGTACATTGCCTTTTTGGCATTTGAAATTATATTTTGCCTGTAACTGGATCTGAAGAAAATGTGCTTTTGAGCAATGCATATTCGGTTATCACCCATTTTCAGATAAGATCTATCTATTAAATTGTCCCACATTGGTTGAGGGAGTGGGATGTTGCCTATTATATGGTATTGGGAAACCGCCGCTTCATGAGCTAGCATTTGGGATTAAGTTAGGCCCAAAATCCATTTTCCTGACATGGTTTTAGAGCTAGACCCATCCATATTCTCGGTTTACTCAATGCTGGCCCCTTATATTATGCTTTCCACGCCCAATTAACTAAGGCCTGGGCATGCAAAGGGTGTTAGATCGTCCCGCACTGGTTAAGGGATTCAGCTGTTATCTCCTTATATGATCTTAGGCAATCTCCCTCATGAACTAGTTTTTGGGCAAAGGTCCATATTATTGACACTATTATCTTTTAAAAGCATGTCTCATTTCCTTCTTTTGTTATGCTTATGAAACTGCTGAATACTACTGATTCTGAACATAGACTTAATTTTCTTTCTATTATATACCTGTGGAACAGTTGCGTGCTTTAGATTTGGAAGTGGCTTATGCTCATCGTTGACTATATTTTTCTGAAATTTAAAAGGCGGGGAGGTTATATGAAAGAAGCTAAAGGGAACATTGTGCTGATTTAGTGAGGGTGAGGGCAAAGATGGAATCTGATTCACTCCTTGATTATGCGGTCTTCCAGCTGTCACCAAAGCGCTCTCGGTGAGTGGTAGATATGCTTTTGTTTATGTATGAAAAGGTATATGAATTCGCTAATATTTCTTGTATTGTTGGAATTGCTTGGGCAGATGCGAATTGTTTGTTTCTCGTGGTGGAAACACAGAGAAACTGGCATCGGGATTGGTAAAGCCCTTTGTGACTCATTTAAAAATTGCAGAAGAGCAAGTTGCATTGGCAGTTCAGTCTATCAAGCTTGAAGTTGAAAGGCGCAGAAAGGCTGAATCATGGTTCACAAAAGGAACCCTGGAGAGGTAATGGCTTTTGTAGCTTGCCCGAAAAAAGATGGGAAAATGAAGAATGATTTGATTTTGTTTCTTCTTTGCAGGTTTGTGAGGTTTGTCAGCACGCCAGAAGTTCTGGAGCTTGTCAACACATTAGATGCGGAAATGTCTCAGCTTGAGGCAGCCCGAAAATTATATTCGCAGGTGGCAAACGCTATCATGAACTCACTGTAACCTTCATTTAGAAATGACTAAAATTATCAGATAATAATAGAATCTGTTCCTTTATTTCAGGGAACGGGCGACCAGTTTAATGGGATTGGTAAGATTACCTCATAACCAAATTTGGCTTTCACATTTTATTAAGTACTTCATGCCTGTAACCTCAGAAGAACACGACTGCCTGTGTCACCTCAAAGTGATCTTCTGTGCTGGCTAAGCTACCTCCCTTCTCGTCTAATTAGTCATCTCGTCTAATTAGTCATCTCCTTAAATTTCTGTGCATTCTCTCTTGGTGGTTGTTGCTGTTTCCCTTTTAGTATCACATCATGCTATTCATAATTTTCACCAGAAAGCATATGTAAATACTGAAATTATCTCTAGATTTTGGTTTTCCATCTTACTAGGGTCTACATTGTAAGCCAAGGTTAGGATTGTCAGTCGTGGGAGATATGATGGTGTCTGCATGGTTTATATGTCTGTTATCTGCTGAGATATGTTGAGATAAGACCATAAAACCTAAATAAACTACCAAATCAATTTTCATAAAGAAATATCTTTTACTTTTAGTTTGATAGAGAAGACATGAAAAAATTACTGACAAATATAATTGTGTTTTATACCTCTAACTGATTTGTTCTCAAAAAAAAAAAAGGGAAGGATGAGGAGAGACCTAGTCCTCTTCTATTTATTCGTCCTCATTAAGAATAAAAGTGGCATAACTTATTTTTGGTTGAATAAATTTTTTTACTTTTACCAAAAAAAGGTGGCATAACTTATAGGGGTCATCTATTGCCTACTTTTTGTTAGTTCAAATTTTCAATTGAACAATAAGAAGAATGAAAACACAAGGAGTTGTTGCTGGGGGATGGAGTTGTTGCTGGGGGATTCTCTCCTGAAATACCTGAACTAGGTATCTTCCTTTAGTAAACTAGGTATTTTCCTAAAGCATCTATCCTTTAGGAGTGATTATTAGGTATAATGCAATCTGCCATAACATAATTGCATCCATGGAGGACTAGAATACTCTGTCCCTCTACCTGTGCCAATCTTGTTGAGCAAACTGCAACCTGCTCCTCATGGATTGACAAACTCATTAATTACCCTATTGGTAGAGAAGAGGTTCACTATCTCCAATACTTTAGCATTTTTTGCTGTTCTTATATGTTAGCTGCATATCTGTTAGCTCATGCATCCCGTGCATTGTCTTCACGACCAGGATTCTTAATACCTAGGAGCTGCGTAAGTTTGGGGCTTAATTACTCTTCTCTTCCATAGAGACCAAAGGTTAACCTTTGTCTATAAATGGATTAGCCATCACCATCCATGATTACTTTGATGACCAAAGATGCCACGGGAACTAGCACTTTCTTCTATTTCTTGTTGTTCCCTGTGGACAATAAACAGTATTGTATAATTGAACTGTAAAGATCAGCTTACAAAATGAATAATCCTTGTATCACACTGGTAATTAAAGGTTAGAAATAGATTGCATGTTGTTAGATCCTGTGATCAAGATGATAAAGCTTACAAAATGAATAGACTGCTTTTGACGTATTTGGGTAGTCATCAACGTCTTTTATAAACATCCAACAAACGTTAGTTTTGATAAGTCTTTGTTTTCTTTAATACTGTTGTAGCAAATCGTGAAGTCTAAATTTGAAAGGAAAGTTTTTTCTTTATGTAGCTGTACCAACTCTATTGATTCCATTTTTCATGTGGAAGTGATCAAGAAAGAAAAAATTTCATGCCTCATGTGGAAGCTTTGCTGCCTGGCCCCCGAATTAATTCTTTCATCTTATATATCGCTTTTGTTAAATTTGGGCATGAGAAGTGAAGACTGAATTTATTAAGAATTATCTTGTTTAAACATCACTGATTCTACGGCCCTATAGTGGTCTTTATCTGACAACCTTTTTGCTTTATTACTTATCCAGGTAGTGGTGGATCCGGGGTTACAATAGCAGCTGATGCGACAAAGTAACTTCCTCACTCTGCTTCTTCACGCATCGATTGCTTGTTACTGTTGGTTTTTTAGTTTGCTGCCCAGTAAAGCATCTTCATTTCATGTTCACTACTACCTATTTACAGGAAGGAGCTACTGCGAGCCATTGATTTGAGGCTTACTACAGTTCAGCAGGACTTATCTACTGCTTGTTCTCGTGCAGCAGCTGCTGGTTTCAATCAGGAGACTGTATCTGAACTTCAAACTTTTGCAGAACGGTTTGGTGCCCCTAGATTGAAGTAAGATTCTGGTGCTTTGACTTTGTTCATAGATTTCTCAGCCCCTCCATCCCTCCCTGCGTATCTGCTCGCAGAAGAATTATGGCTCGTCAAAATATTCTAGTTTTTGTAGTTCACGTAGGAGGGCATTGCTGTTCGGATTCTGTGTTTCTGCCAAATGACAGCCAGCTGACCATTGTGTTTAATTTAGCTGGTTAACAAAGAAAGGGGAACAATGTTTAGTTCAGGGTATTCCTATGAGATGCAATTTTGGTGGTTAGGTGACTGAGAAAGCAAATAACTGACCAAGCGCAGTTGCTTCCGAGGCGCATTAAAGCTTCTTTTTTTCTTAAGGATCCTTGACCTAGTCCAAATGAAACTTGACTCGTTGAAGCCCAAAATTGACTATAGTGATGGCTCAATAAATAGCAAAGTGATACCAATATTGTGTCCTTTTATCGCGTGGTAAGAGTAGATAAAAGTTCTCGTGCTTGGTTTCAGAGTGATAATATTTTCTAAGATCAACGGGAGTAATTGATTGATCTAGTAAAATGGAGAACTGTATACCTCTCTTGTCCAGATGGTAGTGAAGTATTTAGATTCTCAGCACCTAGATAAAGGCGGGCCAAAACCTGGGAGAAGCTGGAAGGGGTCACTGAAGCAAACCGTGTTTCCAGAAACTCCAACTGAGCTATCTCCAAGGTCCAGGGTAAAGCACACCGACAAGACCTGAGAGACCTTAATCAACACATCAAAGATAAAAGACACCTATCTGATTATGAATGTTAGAACAAGACTGAGGAAATAAAGTGAAATTAAGAAAAAGGAGATCTGCTGTATTGTGGGCCTAGCTGGCAAATGTGCGTTGGGGAATTTTATTCAAGGTCATATAGCTCTTAATATTCTACTTCTTTTACATTAATATAATTTGTGCCACATTCTGATTTTGAAGTATGATGCTGATACGGTGATACCAACCACTTTAATCATTTGATGAGTGGGTTTAGCTTCTTAGATGACCCACAAACTAGTGTCCATGACTATTTTGGATTTAAAACATCCGTTGCGAAGTACGGTGAATTTAAAATGAAAGGGCGCAATTAAGATTCTTTCTCTGACGTCGGGAGTGCAGAAGGTGTATCCGATTTTCTCTTTGTTCTTGCAGTTTTCCCCACGTAAAATTGGAAGAGTGATTCTGACATGTCTATAAGGACATCCACTGCACAGTTGAATTTAACCATGAACACCAGGTCCTTTCTTTACTTGCACAAAAAAGTTTGGTCGTAGCAATAGGATAATCTTTCTTGCTCTGCTGTTTATGTCAGCGGGATTGTCATCTAGAGTTGACTGCTGAGATCTAAAGAAATGAAATCTTCTTGAGCTACTTTATGTATCACTTTTGTGTCAACGCCCTTTGGTTGAAACAACTGATTGCACTGGTTAAACTAGTGAGAGGCTATACTCCTTTAGTTTTTATTTCTGAGTATTTAGTTTATCAATAGGCAGCCTATGAAGTACTAGTACATTCCTTCTGTTTGACCAANCAATGAGTTTGGCTGATGCAGCAAGTCTAGAGACTAACTCTAATCTGCAGGTTCCATATACAAATGGGAAGGAGGAAGCTGATGGGGCGAAGCTTTTGACTGATTCTTCGAGGAGTATTCAAGATTCTACCAAGCTCATATCAAACTCAAATTCGGGCATCTTTGATAGTGATAAGGGTCGTGGGAAGATCAGGTCAAGCTCACATATCAGCGGGGCTGAGGATAAGAGTGTGAAATATCAACTGGATTCTGGAGGGCCATTTGCTGAGGTTGGTTTGACTAGTAACGCAAACTTCAAAGTTTCTCAAGGCGGTAAGGAGCTTGGGTGGAGCAAAGGACAAACTAGTCATCAGGTTATTGGCCTGAAAGATCAGAGTAGTCTACTAGGAGCTGCGCAGGCTGAGATTTGGCATCAGAAGGAGGATACTGTATCAACTGATCACTTGGTTTCTAAGCGCGATAAAGCTCCTCAAAGGACTGCGGTGGCCTCTGCCCAGTTGGTTAGTGGTTCAAGCTCAACAGTTACAGAAACTCCCGCTGCTCAAGTCCTTGAAGGTAATACACCGTATCTGCAGTCAAGGCGGCAATCACTTCCAGAATCTGAGGAAGTTGAAAAAAATAAGTTACCCCCAACTGAGAAATTAGCTAGTGCTTCTCAATCAAAGGTCAAAGAGCTTGGACATGTACCAATGAAATTTAAGAAGCAAGGGGGTGCTACTGAATTGGTTAAGAAGACTCAAGATAGGATGGACGAGATCATGATTGGAACTAGCAAAACACCGCTGTCAAGTAAAATGGTTTTGGAGCCTGAGGGGCTTGACTCATTTTTGACACCTCCTATTGAGCAAGTTCAGAGGGTACGGCAGCCCAAAGCAAACCAGGAAATGAATGATGAGTTGAAATTGAAAGCTAATGAGCTAGAAAAGCTTTTCGCTGAGCACAAATTACGTGCTCCTGGCGATAAATCTAATTCTACCAAGAGAAGCAGGCCAGGTGACGTGCAAAGCCGTCCAGTTGCTAGTTCATCCTACAGGAAATCTGTGATAGATAATTCTAATGTTGGAATTTCTGACAATTACACGTCCAATGAACCTGCCTCAAGTTTCAATGATGTTTTAAATAGGAGTTTCTCTGAACTAAGTTTTTCGGATGGTTCTCGAGGGAAATTCTATGAGAGCTATATGCAGAAAAGGGATACCAAACTCCGGGAAGAATGGAATTCTAAGAGAGCAGAGAAGGAAGCCAAACAGAAGGCTATGGAGGATAGCCTTGAGAGGAGTAGAGCTGAGATGAAGGCCAAGTTTGCTGGATCTGCTGATAAAGACAGTATGGTTTCTAGTTCTCGTCGGCGTGCTGAGAGACTCAGATCATTTAATTCGAGGTCTATTCTGAGAAGAGAGCAGGTATAGTTCTTTTTCTATTCTGTAATAGATGCAGCAATACTTACTCATACATAACGTAGCCATTTCTATTTCTTGTTCTGTCTGTTGGTTTGGTTCTCTTGCATTACATGTAACTGACCTTGAAACAATTTGTTTTGGCAGCAACAGTTAGTTTTTGAGCAAAGTGATGACGAAGAAGATATGTCTGAATTATCAAAGCAGAAAAAATACGGTGAAGACAGGTCTTTCGACGAAACATCTTTTGGGGATGATGTTCGTAAGAACACTCGGAGTAAGAAGCCTTTACCTGTCAAAGGTTTGTCTTCATCAACACCTCGCACCACAGTAGCACCTGTTTCGAGGTCTTCTGGGAAAGCTTCTAGTAATACATCAGGTAGGCGAAGAATTCAATCTGAAAATCCTCTGGCGCAGTCTGTCCCAAACTTCTCTGATCTGAGAAAGGAGAACACCAAGCCTTCTTCCACAGCTGGTAAGACAACTCGTTCACAATCTAGAAACTACACCCGTAGCAAAAGCACAACTGAAGAGATACCCCTTGTCAGGGAGGACAAATCACGAAGATCACAATCCTTGAGAAAAAGCACTGCCAATATGGTGGAATTTAGGGAGACATCCGCTTTCGATTCTGAGGGTGTTGTTCTGACACCTCTCAAATATGACAAAGATGAGATGGAGCGGGGTATCATTGAAAAATTTCCAAAGAGTTCAGGTTCAAAGACTTTACTAAAGAAGGGCAAGAATACTGACTTCAGCTCTAGAGGTGGTCTGACTAAGACAAGACCTTCTGCTGCATCTAAGATTGTGGATGACGATGACGAGTACAATGATATGGTATATGAGCCGGAAAACTCAGAAAGCAGGGGCCAGGATGAAGAAGAGGATGAATTTGAGAACATGACAGCTGATATTCAGGAAAACTTTGACAACGGGGAACCAAGACTGAGCCATGATTCAGAGAAATTGGAAAACTCCGGATCAGAAAACGATGGTGTTCTGAGATCATTTTCTCAAGTGAACTCTGCTTCAGAAGCTGTATTGACTTCTGTTGTGACTTCCAAGTTGTTATCTGGTGGACTTGTACAAGATTCACCGGGAGAAAGTCCTGTCTCATGGAATACACATGCTCATCATCCATTTTCGTATCCTCATGAGATGTCTGATGTTGATGCATCCGTGGACTCTCCTGTGGGAAGTCCTGCGTCCTGGAATTCACATTCTCTAAGTCAAACGGAGAGTGATGCAGCTAGAATGAGGAAGAAATGGGGAATGGCTCAGAAACCTATGCTCGTGGCAAATTCTTCTCAAAATCAATCGCGCAAGGATACAGCCAGAGGATTTAAACGGTTTTTGAAATTTGGGAGGAAAAATCGTGGCACAGATAGTCTAGTTGACTGGATTTCTGCTACCACTTCTGAAGGAGATGATGATACAGAAGATGGACGTGACCCTTCTAATCGATCTTCAGAAGATCTGAGAAAGTCAAGAATGGGCTTCTCACAGGAGCATCCATCTGATGATAGCTTTTATGAGAATGAGTTTTTCAGTGAACAAGGTTAAATAATATGCTTCACTCCCTAAAACAAAACATCTAGTTTCTGTATGGTGGATATTTATTGTTGCCTCAAGAATAGCTTCTGATGCTTGATTCTGTTTCTTGAGTTTAACAGTTCTTATTTCTCTTTTTGTGGGTACATTAATACCCGGAAAAGTTAACTGCCAGCACCTGACAGTAGTACGATCATTGTGCTGTTTTCTTGTTTATTAAGTGAAGATCCAGGGAGGATATCAAAATTCTTTTACATAATAGAAAAATAATAGGAAATGTCGGGAAGCAAAGGCGAGCCTCAATTCTAGCTTTATCTGTTATTGGTGGTAGTTTTGCAAATGGTCTTTGTGTAGAGAATGAAGCATATTAAAGGAACTTAGCAATGGGGTTTGAAGTTTAGTTCATACCTTAAACTAGGATAACTGGAATTCAGATTGCTTGGGAATTGCTCAGCTGGTGCTCTTGCTTGTTCACTTTGCTTTTGATTCCATCTTTTTTGTTTGTTGTTCTTCAGTCTTTCAACTTCAGTATAGAGCTTCTTCAAGTCACTAACCAATGATCCTTTCTTCTGGCAGTTCAATCCTTGCGCAGCTCAATCCCGGCACCTCCAACTAACTTCAAATTGCGGGAGGATCATTTATCAGGGAGCTCAATAAAAGGTGACCAGCTAGTATAAGAAGTTTGTCCTTCCTGTCTTATTGCTTGTGTTTTGTGCATGATAAAATTTCATTATGTGAAGAAGTCATCTTGGCTGAAGGAGAAAAACTAAATATAAAAAGTTTAGAAAGCCTCTTGTATTTGGTCTATTTGCAACTTAGCTCCATGAAATTGTAACCATAAAGGTCATTTTCAATTTATGCATTAAAGTCACAATCCTGACTTACATTAGGAGGTTGAACATGGCCTTACATTAAGAGATTAAACATGGAGGAAAAATAAAGCTTTGTTTTGTTTGGGTTGGGCAAAGAGCACTCCTTACTAACTTCATCTGACAGAGTTGGTTTTGACACTTCTTTTTGGTCTTGTCAGACATATTTTGTTGAGGTTTGCTCTTTTAATGGAAACTAATGTGTTTTTAAACAGATATCCTTGTTTATGTCACCAGCTTAAATTATATGGAGTCTATCTAGCTCTAGTTCTGGTGGGAGTATGGCAAAATTTGGATTCTAAAAGGTAATGATCATACCATCGCGAACTGATCACAAGAAGCAAAACTTGTCCAACAACCTAAACCTTGCAATATTCTGCTTAGAACTCAAGAATACAGTTGTACGAGCCTATAGAGCAGATCCTGTTCTACTAAGGTCGTAACCTTGCAAAAGTTCTGCTTACTACCAAAAATATTCTCTTTAGGACTTTCTTCTTATTAGCAACACACAGCACTCTATCATCTGTGTAATGTTAGCATAGACACGCAGAAAGTTGGACATAAACTTGTGTGAATCAGACTTGGTTATTCTCTTCCCCATGAGTTCTTATGTAGAACTGATCCAATCTAAGGTGATTATCAAAATATATAATACACAGAATATATAACTAACTTAATGATCACACTAGTTCTGATTTAGAATTTATAAATAAATCTTAATGCTTCCGTAATTTGAGGATATGCGCTCTTAACTTTTGTCACTTCCTAATTATTTTACAGCTCCAAGATCATTCTTCTCCTTATCGACATTCAGAAGCAAGGGAAGTGACTCAAAGCCAAAGTGACTATCCGAAGCCAAAGATAACTATTTTAAAGGATAAAGTTCCACTAATGCTTGGAATTGCCTTGTGATTGTACCAAACTTCAGACAATATTTCGCAGCAAGAGGTTGAGGTAGATGAGCTACAATCATCGAAATATGATGTATACTTGTACTTAGTAATCACGGGGCTTGTGAAGCCTTTCTTGTGCTTAGCTGTTTCTAGTAGTTGTCTCAGAATATATGTTGTATATTGTCTTGAGAGGACACTGGCGGAATATTAATGTGATTTTGGTAGTCATAGCATTCTTTCTTATGTTGTTATTTACTCTTGATTTATGGTAAATATCAGAAGTTAAATTTTGTTCAATCAAGTATTGACAGTTTAGAAAGGTCCAGGGTTGAACTATTTGATTATGCTACCTTTACCTTTGTATGATACATACTATGACAGATTTGATGACCTTGTTATCTGGTTGCACAATTATTTGTTGCCTAGACGGCTAGACCCCTCTGGATATTTTACAATGACACATAAAAAAAACACATTTGTCTTCATGCTAAGTACAGCATGCTGTCCAAATTTGCATATATTGTTGAAGGAATATCATAAAATTATCTTTTTTTTTTAAAATCACAATTATAGGATGTTGTCCAAATTTGCATAGAAATTGTTGAAGGAATATCTTAAAATTATGTTTGTTTTCATACCAAGTATAGCATGCTGCCAAATTTGCATAGAAGTTGTTGAAGGAATGTCTAAATCATCCAGTCAGAGCCTTACTCATGTTAGGGAAATTTCTTTAATCCTTGTTGCATAAATTAATTAGAGCTGATTCTAAAGCATCTCCACGGAGTTATTGAAGGGTGCTTTATAAGGATTAATTATTTTTGCGGTTTGTTAATTTCTACGTAGAATAATTTATTTACGTTTAGCTCTTGAATTTGAAATATGTTGAGTGTCAACGCCAGAAAATTGCCAGATTTAATGCTAAGTGCAGAATTAGAAATGTTTAAATGGATCACCGAAATGTAGTGTCGTGGAATGATTGGAATTCTTTTAATTTTATGCTAAAGTGCAGAACTAGAAATGTATAAATCGACCACCAAACTGTAGTACTTTTTTTTATCCTTAACTAGAGGTCTTGAGTTTGAGCTCTGACTTGACAATCTTTCGGTAGGAAATTTGAATATGACGGGCGAACTAACAAAATAACAGTCCATTCAAAATGTATGGGAGAGATCTCCTTGTGACATTTGGATACATGATGTTTGATTTGCCCGAAAGGACACAGAATTACATCAATTTCCGGGGATCACTTTCGCTTGTTTCGTTGTCGGAGAGCATATTGTTTTATCGTTTAATTGACTTCTTCTAGAGGGAGGAACATGAGATTAATTAGTTTAGTAACAAAGTCATGATTTACCTCTTTCTATAATTAAGTTTTATGCCAAGAAGGGAATCACAGAAGAGAAACAATGTCCTCTTTCAAGTGGCATTATAGGCAATTGTCACTTCAAAGGACAAGATACAGACATGACCAAAGGTAAACAAATAAAAGATAAGAAACAAACAACTACGTAAAAGCCGTTAATTCACTAATTCCTACGTTTTTGCATGGAAATCTGACCCCCTCATTAGCCGAAGGCCGACTTCAAGAGGGACAACTTTCTTCATAAAAGATTTTTCTTAATAAAACAGCTGGAGTTGAATGCTACTTTAACCAAAACGACCATGCGACCAAATCACAGATTGTCAAAATTAATAGTTCCCACTACTATGTGATTAAGAGTTTGAACTTAACATAAATCTAAAAATTGTTTAGTTTACTAACCTCTCTTTATATGCGGAGTCTAGAGAAAGGCCGGACCACATTAGGTCCACTGTATGCAGTCTTACCTCGCATTTCTGCAAGAGGCCATTTCCATGGCTTAAATCCAGAACTATTTATGTAGCCTTATCTTGCAATTTCTGCAAGAGCTTGTTTTCACGTCTTGAACGCGTGACTTCATCCGGAACGAAGCTAGAGTGTCGGCTACGGGTACGGCTGAACCCAATAACTTTGGTTCAAACCCTATATTTATCTTAAAAAATTCATCCGGGATGAAGCTAGAGTGTCGGCTACGGGTACGGCTGAACCCAATAACTTTGGTTCAAACCCTATATTTGTCTTAAAAAATTTATTGAATATATACAAATTATTAATTTAAAAACCCGTAACTTAAAATAATTACAACCTGACGTCCATGAGCTTCAAATCCGGCTTTGTACTTTATTGTTATATGGCGACTAACTCTTAGCTCCGTGCCAACTGCCTAGGCTCCCCCTCTGCCCAATGTCTAGACCACAAATCATTCTCGCGCCGGCTGGTCAGCATATCCTATAAACTAAAAGCCGGCCTACCAAAGTCACTAATTAAAACTAAGTGACCTAAGATAAATCTTTTTTCTTTTTCTTTTTCTCTATAGATTACGAGAGCAGTCGACAGTCATCAGCTTTATTTATAGAAAATGATGATTGGTCAATCATATATTGTCCTGAAATACTTAAAAACTTTACAAAGTTTGAAAAACACAAATGCAAAACCACTTATTTTTGGTCTTCGAGAAGTCAGAAGGCATCTTAATAAGGCGGATTGATCAAAGGCATTTTGTTGTTCAAAAACATTCATCCTAGGAAAATTTTGCTAAGAGAGAGCTGTAAATATACCTTTTTATGTTCATATTTGTCTACTACCATTCTATAACTTGAAAAGAGACAATCAGAATTCTTCACCATCAACAGCATTAATCCAAATGGCTCATTCTGAGTTTTCATCTTCCACTAGGCAGAGACGCCATACTACACCTGTGGTGTCACAGCAACCTTCCACATCATTCTCAATGTCAATGTCTACCTCCTACAACAACTTTAGTCGTGCGCGCAATCCCACGCCTGCTAGTCCTTTTGCCTCCGATGATGACAGGTCAGTCGCGTAGTTAAATGTATTGAAAGATGTACAACTGAATCCCATTGTCGGAAAGTCTTACTGTGCAAATAGGCTAAAACAATGTTTTATATATATATATATATAAATTGTTGAAGTAAAAGTGACACAAATAGTTTGACAGGTCATGGCAAGGCGAGCTTTCTTGGCAATTTGAGCCAATAGGGTGGCGCGATAATCGCAACCTTAGTGCAGCACTAAGTCCGTGGACAGCTTCTGATGCTTCTTTCACTTCAGCAGCACATGGGAGTAGGATTTTCAGGAAATCAGCTAATGATTATTACTTATCGCGGACGACTAATGGTGTTTTCCATAGCTTCATTAATCCATCATATGATCATTCTTATTCTGGCCTCCAGCCTTCTGGAAGGCTTGAGCTTCAAAGTTTTGATTCCAGGGCCAGTGGGAATTCCTATGCCTCTCGTGATTATAAGGGCAAGCCCCACAAATCTTCAAAATTGGCAACTATTACAGAAGGGACCAGTGCTGGGAAAAGTGGTCCTTTGGCTGTGAAAGACGAGCTCCAGTCGATAGAGTTTGACAGAATAGAAGATCTTGAAAGGCAAATCCAGATTGACGGGTCAGATACCAACCTATATCATTAGTAACAATGTTAAATTGTGTGACTATATCATCTAAAAGCTAAAACTGTTATAAAGAGCACACATTTTTTTTACGTGCATGTCTGATTCTTTTTACATGGGCTAAGCATGTGGAAGAGCACACTTTTAATCACCCCTTACTTAATGAAGACTTAACCTAAATAGCCACCCGCCTAACCGCGTAAATTAGGAATAGCCGACGAATGTATAATCCATGTATAATATGTGTATAACTATGTATAATCAGTGTATAATCTATATATACTGGGGCTAGGAAAAGTAAACAGTGAATCCAGTCGACTATTTGTGTAAAGATCCACTTAATTATATTATGTATTCAACAAACACAATGACTCAAAATGGTTTCAGTATCAAAAGCTTATACACAGGCAATACTAATCATGCTAAACTACGTTGCAGGTCAAATGCTCATAATCATGGCATCGTTAGAGATCATCATGGACACCTTGATCAGATGGAACATAGCTTCAATATTAATGATACCTCTGATTGTGACGTGAAATGTGTTGATCATGTTTACGACGAACACAGCCACCATGTTCAATATTCTAAACAATCAAATTTCCAGCAGTATGGAAATGATTTGTACAATGATATTGACAAGAATCCTATAATACACGATGAAGAAAATGATGCAGAGGATGAGGCAGCAGCTCCTAAGCCAGTAGGGTTGTTGAGCTTGTTCAAATACTCCAGCAAGTTGGATATACTATTACTGCTGTTGGGTTGTATGGGGGCTCTAATAAATGGAGGATCTCTTCCTTGGTATTCTTATCTTTTTGGTAATTTCGTAAACAAAATTGCCCTGGACAAAGACAAAGATCGGATGATGAAGGATGTGGAAATGGTAATATATACTTACTATTTCATTGTATGCTCCTCCTTCCCTGCAATTTTTTATCCGTAGAAAAGTTGACATAGAAGAATTTGGTAGAGGTGTAGGTGGCAAAAGGGCGGGTTGGGTCAACGGGTCAAATCAATAAGCTAGTCATAACTCAACCTGCTGAAAGTTTGCTTGGGTCAAAATGGGTTAAGTAACAAGTCATAACCCAACTTGTCTAAGATGACCCAACTTTCCCTCCTTTTTTATTTTGTTTTTTTAAGAAAAAATGCGAAGCTAATGTATTTTTATTAAATTATTAGCTTCAGTTCTTTCAAATTTACATAATTACCGATCTCCAAATTATATTGTATATTTGGGTTTGAGTTGCATTTTGACCCGTCAGTTACATTGTTTTGACCCATTTTGGATCAATAGTTTGATCAGCCATTTCGGGTTCAACCCGTTCAGTCTAGTTAACAAACGAGTCAGAAGTAAACCGCTTAAACTTGGGCGGGTTACTAAAAATGGGTTGATCTTGAGACCTCTGTATGGAGGATTTGAATAGAGTTAGAGTAAGAATGAAGAATCTGTCAAGGATCTCAGTTAATAACTCCTTTCTCTCCTGCTAGCGGTTAAAAGAGAAAAATGAATGAATACTATTAATCCTAAATAGAGCAACTAATTGCCTATACACTCATTATCTAAATCTCAAGAGATCTTATAATAATTGATACAATCTTCAGGTGTGTGTGCTTATGACAGGGCTAACAGCAGTAGTCGTGGTTGGAGCATACTTAGGTAATTTAGACATTTGTATTCTCATATATACTATTCTGGATTTTAGAGTTTAAAGGAGAGTAATCACAGTTGACACTTTAATCATCTTATGCCAGAGACAACTTGCTGGAGATTGGTGGGAGAAAGATCAGCTCATAGAATAAGAACAAAGTACCT